TTAAGACCGGATTTATTAGAAAATTTACCTTTATTACTTCGTCGCGATATGTGGTTCATGCTCCGCCACATTTTACGATGGCTGTTCGGCAATATTTAAGCCAACAATATCCTGGTCGATGATATCATGGTTGAAGGGGAGCTGATGCTCCAATAAAATGGCCAGCAAGATCACTAGACCTTACACCGTGTGATTATTTTATCTGGGGGGCATTGAAGTCAAAAGTCTATGCCTCTACAATTGATAGTAAAGAGGAATTACGAAGAAAAATTTTCTTAGCATTTAATACATTAAATAATCGCGAAACAATGGACAGAGTGCAAATTTATGTATTTTGAGAAACGGTGGTCATTTTGACCAATTTTTGTGAATATATTTTGAGTTTGTACTTGTTGAGTTTATTGTTACCTTTTGTTTCTTAGAATTGATTAAAAGTTTTTCTTTCTAGTACTGAAACAACTAAATACGACTACGTTTTTTCCTAACTATCTCTATTCCTATGATATTGTATTCACGTTAAACATAAACTGCAATTAGTTGAAATCAGTGCCAACTACGGTGAGGTAACTTTTGTAAGTGCAATGACATAAACAAAGCACTTATGTAATCAAAATCTTCAGAATTTTCAGAAAATATTCAGAAATTATAATAATGTAATTGTCGCCTGGCCAGAAAAAAGAAATATGGAGTAATAACCGGTGAACACATGACTTTTCCATCATTCCTGTGTTTCTAAAATTGTATCAAAAACCATAAAAAGACGTTAATCGAACCTAGGAACTGACTTCTGAAAAATGGTTTCTACTGATTTACGCGTTTTCGAGTTATAAAAAATAAAAGAACTTTTTTGCTAACTTTGAAGTCCTCTAGCGGCGAAACGAAGCAACTTTGGATATAGATAACTTAACTTAAATCTTGTTGTTATCTTTTCTTTCTATTGTTGAAATTTAAAAAATAAAAATGGTTTTCGCATTTAAACAATGGATTTTTATTTTTACTGATCAGCTTTTACCGGTTTCGCCTATTTATTTCGGCATCTTCAGAAAGCTTTCTATACAAAATACAAAATAAAATTAATTACAGTTATTCCTTATCTAATCGGAAATAGTTGTTAAAAAAGAATAAAAACTTACGTTTGGATCGAACATTAAAACAAATTTTGACAATTATATGGAAAAATCCGATAGCAAAACAACGTTGTAACATCATTAAAATGTATATAAAATTAGTAGAACGTCGAAGTAGGTCGTACATCAAAAAATATGACATCAAGATAAAAGTGATATGTTGCCATACATGTACCACATTGTAATTTATATATCTCCTTACGAAGACTACATTTACTGGAGAAGAAATGGAACTGCTAGGAAAGGAGTATCACAAATACACCATCCATTCCTCACCAAATTTCAGAAGACTAGGTATAGAACTTGAAGCAACAACATGTAATCATCCAGATGAAGAGGAAATACATAAAGAATTACAACAAATATTAATTAAAGAAGACACACGAATATGTAAGAAAAAAGAAAATCAAAATAAGATGAAAAAACAAAAAAGAGAAGAAATAATACTAAAAAATATCAAACTTAAGATTAAGAACAATAATCTAATAGTGACAAAGGCAGACAAGAACGCAGGTTTAATAATTATGGACAAGGACAAATATATCGATAAAACCAATGATTTTTTAAGAAATAACAACTTTAATACTATGATAAAAAATGCAACTATCACTTTTCACAACAAGGTGAAAAAAACTATTAAAGACACCAAAGTAACCTTAACAAAGCTCAACTTAACACGTTATTATTTAATCCCAATGAATCCCAAAACCCCACGTCTCTACGCATTGCCTAAACTACATAAAAAAGAATTTCCTATAAGACCCATTATAAGTTCGATTGACTCGAGTACACATAAAATTTCGAAAATGTTATTAAATATATTCACGGATATCACAGCTTTTAAGCCCAAACATATCATCACAAACAGAAGACAGTTAATTACTACACTGGAAAAATGTGTTCTGCCAGATAGATACCTGGACCATGGTGTCCTTCGATATCGTAAATCTGTACACTAATATCCCTACCAAACAGACTCTAGAAATAATCAAGGGAATTTTAAACGATAAATTAGCAGACCATGACGACAGCTCTAACCTATTAAAACTTTTTCAGTTATGAATAGAACAAAATTTCTGTTCATTTGAAAAGAAGATTTACACCTTTTCAGATGGATTACCCATGGGATCGCCGTTGAGTGGACTATTGGAGGATATATTTCTTGACAGGCTTGAAAATGAAGAGATCAATAACCCCAAAAACCCATTTTACAGAAACATAATATTATGGAAGAGATATGTGGACGACGTTTTTGCAATTTATAGACATCTCTAATATAAACGCAGTTGATGACATTCTACAACACATTAATAGCTTACATCAAAACATTAAATGCACGATGGAGATGGAAGAAGCAAATAAGATAAATTTTTTAGACCTTACAATAGTAAGACAAAACATTGACCTTCGATGTCTATAGAAAAAAGACGCAGACTGACATAATAGTACCATACGACTCATATCACGAACCTTCACATAAATTCTCTGCTTTTCATGCGCTGATAGACAGAGCCCTCACATCCAACCTTGATGAAGACAAAATGATAATAGAACTTAACATAATAAAACAAATAGCACGAACAATCGATTCCCTAGGAATGAGATTGAGAAATTTATTGATAGAAAACTTAAAAGGCATTACCGCACCAAGATCACCACACTTTTACCAGATAAGAACCCCGAACCCAAATATTATAGATCCATACAATATCAAGGCACAATAAATAAGAAACTTAAAAAGCTCTTCAATAAACACAACATAAAAATCTCATGCAAGAATAACAACACAATAGGAAAATTATTAATAAATAATAAGGACAACATTAACAAACTAGATGATAACGGAATCTATAAATTACAATGTGGTACATATATGGCAACATACATAGGACAGACAGGACGGAAATTGGGATAAAGAATATACGAACATAAAACCAAACCAAATTCTAACTTTGGAAGATACCTGTCATTTAACATAGAACATGAATTCGATGACAAAGAAAACACCACACTTATACACAAAACTAATAAAGGACAGTTGATGGAGTTACTTGAACACTATGAATTAATAAATTCAAGAATAATTTTCCGACATATAATTGTTTGAACGAGCAGATAAACGTTGCCAGGAAGCCACTATATATGTATTTAAAAATTCCTTTTACACCTCCCAAACAAAACCAAAAACCGCCAGATGAACCAGGGTAACTACTTAGGTAGCAAGTAGTTCACTGCAACATCTGGCGCACCTTAGCTACCTCCCCATCCTTTTTTCCTACCTAATCCTGCCTTATTTCCCTTTATTTTTAAATTAATCTTTTAAATTATTGGTTTGGTTGGGGTGGCATCCAAAAGTTTGAGGTTGGCAACATGCACAGTTGGCTGTTACTAAATCTGGCGCGTTTTTGACATACATAACCTCAATATCACTTTTATCTTGATGTCATATTTTTTGATGTACGACCTACTTCGACGTTCTACTAATTTTATATGCATTTTAATGATGTTACAACGTTGTTTTGCTGTCGGATTTTTCCATATAATTTGTTTTAAGTATGCGATCCAGACGTAAGTTTTTATTTTTTTTAACAACTATTTCCGATTAGATAAGGAATAACTGTAATTAATTTTATTTTGTATTTTGTATAGAAAGCTTTCTGAAGATGTCGAAATAAATAGGCGAAACCGGTAAAATAAATTAGTAAAAATAAAAATCCATTGTTTAAGTGCGAAAACCATTCTTATTTTTTAACTTAAATCGGCCTATTTTGAGCCAAGGAATCTATGGTCTTCCGTTGTACACACATTTCGGAGACGTCCTGTATGTATGTTTAAAGTTCCATATTATATCGTTTTCGTCTTTATCAAAAGATGTCACCACAATAACCAAAACGTTCTCATCTTGTTAATTTTTAAATTAAATATAAATATTAATTAATTTATCATTAACCTCTTACGTTTTCAATTTTATTATCAATCTATAAACAAATTGATATTAAACCAATTCAATTCCTTGTTGTATTTGTGTTTAATTCGAATACGTTTAAGAACGTATCATAGGGGTTAAAAAAACCGTTGGTTAACGCTTGCGCATTTCACCATAATCGCTTCTTCCCGCCGTTTCGTTTCATCACTTTCTTGTAACCGTTAGAAGCATCCAGCACGTGGTAAGTAAAACGCACTCTTTAAAAACGTCTACAAACCATTCACCATCTTTCATTAGCCAAATAATCTTCGTGGACGAGTCAACTTCATGTGAAAGACATCCTAACCTAGAAAATCTAGAAATAGATATTTTTTGGTGGTGTAAGCTTGTGTTCAGTCTATTGTTGCCGGTTTTAAAAAGTGACTAGATCGAACACTCGCTTTCAACGCTAAGCCGGAAGTCATCGTTGGAAACAAGACGCAAAAACATGAAGTTTATAATTTGGAAAGGGTTTCTGATTTGAAGGAACTTCTGGTGTGATATGTTGCTTTTAATCTTATCACAGCCAGAAGTTACCTACGAAATGGAATACCCTGTTCAACGGAAACGATACTTCGCCCATACGTAATTTGAGTAAACAACGTTCGAAAGCCCAACCGTCGTTGTTAATTAAATTGAGAAAGGTAAGTTTTAGCCTGGTTCGTTCTATATAAAGGTGAACATTAGTCATCCGGTTTCTTGTTTCATGTTTTTAACAGCTTCTTCGAAGTGATTCATTTTTCGTTTTTTTTATCATATTCGTCATTTTAACGGTTCAAATGTGGGAAAGGAAAGTTTTTTTTATTGTTTAAATCTCTTTGTTTTATATTTAACGGTAATTTATTTGTATGTAATAGCTTTTACCATGTAAATTAAATAAAATGCGTTTAATGTTTCAATTGGAATTTTCATTGGTCAACCTCATCGTTATTATCAATATCACATTGTGTTTTTTTAGCTTTAATACCCCCAAAGCTTGTAACACCCAAATCTTTGCCATATTTTACATCTAAACTTTCCTCAAACCTTTTCCACAACATGGTTTTCATATATTTTTCATCTTTGAGTTGTTCTTCAATACGATCCATATCAATTTGGTGTAAAGGACAGTTACAAGGTTCACTAATTTCCCTATTTTGAATCCTTTTTAATAAATCCCTTATTTCATTGGAAGTTTCCACGATCCCTAAGTTTTTATAACCTATTTTTCTGAGTCCTTCAACCATCATTTTTATGCATTCTAACTCGGATTTATAAGGCATATGTTTTGTGAACTCATTCAGGTCATTTATTTCAAGACCTGGAGGAACAGCACGTTTTCCTGATTTGCAAGAACAATAAGAATTTGTTTTTTCTTGAAGAGAATCTGTGCAAGGACATGGCAGTGTTGTTGGACCTTCAGGATCCTTTTTAACCAATTCTATATCAAAAAGAAATTTATATAAATAGAATAATTACAAATATAAATGTTTAAGTAAAATTTTTTATAGTAAAAATATAATTGTTTAGTACCAAGGCAGATTATCAGTCTTAATTAACCTACCCAGTAATATCTGAATTTTATTTATTTATGGGTGGTCACATTGAAATGTCATTATTATATAATTATTATTATTAAATTATGGTGTTATGAAATTTGGACGTTGAGAACCTCCAAAAATTATTATGGTTTTTCCTTTTTTCTCTAGACCAGTGTTCTTCAACCTGTGTTCCGCGGAACCCTACTTAGGGTTCCACGAGTCAATGCTACAGTTCTTGACAAAGTTTCTTGTTCGACCAGTTTTTCGCCAACATTAATCCCAACGGATAACAGTGGAGAAGAAAATAAACCACGATTAACAAGCCGAAAAAAACGAAATTATGATGAAGACTATATGAAGATTGGATTTACTTGGATTGGCGATAAAAATGAGCCCAATGGGTTTTGTGTAATATATGAACAACTAGAGAACAACAGCAGTTTAAATCCTGCAAAGTTAAAGCGTCATTTGGAAACTAAATATTCGACTTTGAAAGGTCTGAAAAGGAATACCTTTGAAAGGTATGTTCGTGATGATAATAAAAATGTACTAAAAGCATCATATTTAATTAATTGGCGCGTAGCTAAACAAGGCGAAGCTTATATGATAGCAGAAAAATTGATTAAACCTTGTGCAAAAGATTTAACCACATCCATGATTGGAGAAAAATTTGCAAGCAAAATTGACCTTGTCCCATTATCTGATACGACGATTTCACGACGAATTAAAGATATGTCAGATTTCTGCGAAGCGGAACTAGGGAATGGTTTGAAATACGCTAAAGATTACTTATCTACGGTATCTACGGATGTGGCTGTACTAGCAATTTTGTTAATTTTCGTTACATACATACACGAATCCTCTTTTAAGAAACATATGCGTTTATGTAAAGCTTTGCCAGTTCAAACAACATGTGAAGAAATATTTAATTTACTTATACTGTGAAAATATTCAATTTCTTGGAATTTATGCCATCATATAATAGCACGTAGGGCGTAATAGCACGTATAAAGAAACTAGTTCTGGACATCAAGGCTGTCTTCATCGCCTCTTAAACGGATACCAACTGCTCTGAAAAGTTCTTAATGAAGCCGATAAATTGGTTAATCTCATCAAATCTAGATCCCTAAATCCCAGGGTATTTACCATATTGTGTGATGACCTGGATGCTTACATAAACATCTCCTTCTTCATACTGATGTAAGATGGCTATCCAAGGGAAAGGTTCTAACCCGATTCTAGGAATTGCTTGATGAAATTCGTATCTTTTTAACTATGAATTTGCAAGAAAACTTAATGACACTAGTTGGTTTCAAAATTTAGCCAACCTTGCAGACATATTTTAGTACCTGAACCACGAAATAGTACAGAATGTTTTGCTAATTTAAACGATTTCTTAGCAACCAATAATATCGTATTCGACCAGAATATTTTCCCCCTACTTGCAATAATTTAAGTTGGGTTGAAAATCCTTTTAATGATTGCAGTGGTGTGGATACCTTCCCAATTAAGGAAAGAGAACAACTTATAGATATACGTACCGACACCACATTAAAATCTACATTTGCATATGATGGCATTGGTCCATTTTGGATAAAATTATTGGATGAATATCCGGAAATTTCCAAACGCGCTCTAAAAGAATCGTAACAACCTATCTCTTTGAGAAATCCTTTTCCACATACGTCGCTACAAAAACGAAGTGCAGAAATCGACTTGGTGCTGAAAATGATATGCGTCTCCAATCAACATCGATTCATCAAGATATTGATAAATTGTGCAGTAATAAATATGCACAATAAAGTCTTTATCTATTATATGTCATAAGACGTATTTATATTTTATAAGGAATATTTATCTTTTTGTCTGAATAAACACAAGTTACTCTTGTATAGAGTTTTTACAATGAAGGAAGAGATGCGTCTTGTTCACAACATGTAATATGTAATTATAATACAACACATCAATCCCTAAAATCAAATCTGGGTGTTACAGTACGAAGGGTTGAAGAGTTGACAAAGGTTGAAGAACACTGCTCTAGATCATTCATTAAACAGCATATTTATGTGCTTCTATAAGTACTATAAATATTGCGATGAAATACTGTTTGTTATGTCATATTCTGCTAATATGTGAAAGATGATATAAATATGCGAAGAATCTTAAAAAAACAGTTTCAAGCTATTATCAGTTTGAAGTTATCAAGTTTGTTTCTACTTTAACATTAAACAAGGTTTGTACAAAATGATGTCAAATATTTGGGTATCCACCTGGATCACCATCTGACTTGGAAAAAACATATATGGACCAAGTAGCTTCAACTAGGAATGTTATATAGAAAAATCTACTGGTTTATAAACAGGAACTCAAATTGCTCAGCGAATTTTCAATTACCCAATAAAGCTGGAAGTCTATCCAAATCGATTTGCAAAAAAAAAACCTTTTACACCGGAAAAACCATTAAAAGACTGAAGCGAAAAGATTTATAAGACAATCATAAAAATATACTTTTATCTATTAAGGTTCGTTCCCCATCATATAATAACGTCCTGATTTTGAAAGATGGCAATGATGTTGCTTCTCAAGATGGAAATAAACATACAAGGGCTGAAGTAAGTGAGTTTTAATCTGAAACCGATTGGTCCTCAAGGAAGTGTGCTCATCTGTCCACACGGTAATGCGCTTCTTATTATTTTTGTAAACAGTGGTTGAAAGAGAATGTAAGGCTCCAAGTATTTCAGAAACATTGGGAACAAATCTGTGATAAAAATTGATCATTCCAAGAAATCTGGACTTTTTAGATTTTGAGGTTGAGGAAAATTTATATATTGCGTTAATTTTTGATTGAATTGGACGAGACTCTTTGGAAGATATATGAAGGGTTAAAAAATCTATTTAACTTAACAAACAAATTATTACGCTACACAGGCTATCGGAGGACACGGAGCTTTAGGAAGTTATTTGAAAAAAATAACGATAATAGAGTCGAGTGAGTGTTGGTATGGACGTGGAATTGACGATACGCCAGAACACACAATCTTTTATTATAAAAAATTTCCTGCTTTGTGTGAGAATACCGAGCAAAGGATAGGGAAGTCAATTAACATTGATACTATTGCGGAGACCCTTCTGGAGACGGAGGAGATGGGAAAGGCGATTGTGGAGCTGCTAAGTGTAATGATGAGGACGCAGGAAGAAGATGAGAGGACACCAATGGGTTGACAGAATAGAGAAAAACAATTGTCAACTGTTTCGCAGGCAGCCTGAAGTAATGCTAAGCGATCCCAGGCAGCCTAAAGTCTAGAAGTGACAGAATGAGCTGGAGTTTTTAGTGCGGTAGGCCTGGCCAACAACATCTAGGCCAGGAGAGTCCAATACTCCCGGTCGGATCTTTTCCAGGCGCCATATCCGATCGGGGCTCAGTGATAAAGATTTTCTCCTCCTCCAAAAATTTTCTCCCTTGGGTTGGGTTTCGTTATGTAATATACTAGTAAACGTACTTAAGGTTTAATTGGGCGTCATTAGTAATTGTATACATCAACTACATTTCATATTTTATATATACATCAACTAAATAAATTAGTTAATGTATGCAGTGACTAGAATGTATACATTTACGGAATGAATGCTTTAACTGTAACATATACATTTCAATCAAGTTGTATAATGCTTTTACCACATACCACATATTGAGGTTAAGGATGAAATGTTTGAGCTGCATTTTTAACCCAAATGTCATTCTAGTGAATTCATAGGGACCGAATGGGGTAATGATAGCAGCTTTGACCATGAAGATTCAAAGTGAAGTCTTGTAAACGAGGTAATGGGTATTTGTTGGGTACCGTTACTAAATTTAACTGTGGATAGTCGCCACAAGGACGCTAGTCTTGACAATCTTTTTTAGGTACCATGTGTAATAATAAAGAAGAAGAAGATGAGCTACAAATACCGAGTGCTACCATATCATCGAATTGGTGAGTGCGTCAGACAGATGCTACAGAGCATTTTTGTGCCAACAAGACGAAGTAATCGTTTATACAACTCGTACAACGATGAAGATTTACAAACACTATTTTCAAGACCGTGTGATTTTCCAATTTAGCAATTTGAACTCACCGGCCAGATCGCCAGATTTGACGGCGAAAGGTTTCTTTCTATAAAAATTTTTGAAAACTAAGTTGAAAAAATTGCCAATTCAGAGGCAGATGTTTTGGGAGCAACAATTCAGACTGTAGTAAAACGAGCACAAAATGTGCATCAACTCAGGAAAAGGTCAAATAATTTTTTCAAATTAATGTAATCAATTTCACTCCTTCAAATAAACTTTCCATGAAAAAAGAGAAGTATTTTTTTTTCATTATATCGAAATGGCAGCCAATTCACATTATGACAAAACTATTCAACCAACGAATACCTTAAATCTGTCTCTACAAGGCAATATCATCTACATTTTCAAAATTTTAAGAAAGCCGAGTCATGCCGAGAGGGTTTGGTACCTCGAGCTGTAATCTAATCCATGACATAGTGGTTAAAGATGAGATCATCTATCTGGGCACAAAAATAACATAGATGCGGCTCAGAGCAAGAAATAAGGAGAAGAATCAGAACGGTGGAAACATCACCGTATCCTCAAAGAAACTAAAATTAGACTTCTGAAATCTTTACTGTTTCCTATTGCAACATATGGCTCAAAATCCTGGATGCTACATGGTGAAAGAGTGTTAAAGCTTTTAAAATGTTATGTTACTACTGCATCCATTCTAGAAGAACTAAAAATAATAAGATAACAAGAGATTACTACCAAAGATCCAGCGGTATGGCAAAACCCACGATACAAGTTAAGGTTGATGGCAAAAGATGAAGAGGCAACTCACTGGAGAGATATTTAGACTAAGTAAAGGATTTGGTATAGATATCGGTTTGCCAAGTGATGCCTACTATAGAAAACAGAGAGGCAAGGCAAAGGGTCACCACACAACCTCCATGAATGAGTCACGACGTCTGAAATCGGACAACGACTGAAGAGAGAGAGGGAGAGAGAGATATGATTTGTAAAATAAAATATACAGGTGTTCAAAAAGTTCCCGTACTTTTTTTAGACGTTGTTTGTTCCGATGATTTCATGTAATTTTGACCCTATATACTGTTTTCATTTTTTTTAATTTTGTACCACTTCTGTTAGCTGCACAAATCGGGAATGTAAAGTGCCGAAGTGGGTCTAGGATGCCCTCAAACGTTACAAGGAGTCTGAAACTGCTGAACGTCCTCAGACAGGTTGTTCAATCACCGTTACGACTCCGAAGAATGTGCAGAAGGTCCATTGTTGCGGTCAACGCAACCAAGAGCGTTCGATCAGGAAAATCGAAGGGAACTTATCGTTAGTACCGGTAAAACTTGGAACATCAGAAGAAAATTAAAGCTTCGAAGCTACAAGGTCGGTCGTCAACACTTCCTCAACGATAAAATGAAGCTGAAGAGAATGTAAAATCTCCGAATGATTAGCCTCATCGCTGGTGCTCGTTTATCAAAACTTTCTCTTCACTGATGAGAATATTTTCACGATCGACTTGCTCTGCAACCAATACCATTGGTTTTCATTGATCGCAACGTCATGATCAACACCGTCAGCCATCAACAGCAAGTTTTATGAGACGTTTTCATTTTTTAACAAGACTGAGCGCCGTCACATTCGACTAAATGCAGTTTCCAGACTATTAGGGTAGCGACGTTTGATTCACCCTCAACCCAATGGATTACTCAATTTGGTCCATCTTGGAGCAAAAAAATCTCAGGAACATGATATGTCACCGTAGAAGCACTCAAAACGGTTCTGAAACGCGCCTGGGACGAGATTACGGTAGAAATGTAGAAATTTTGACGAGAACTTTTTGAACACCAGTAATTATGTTACTAAAAAAATGGACAAAATTTAGAATGAATCTGAATTCACTTCAAATGATTTTTTAACATAACCAAAATATTAAATTTTAAATCTTACTACTATAGTTTTCCTTTAAAGCTTGTTGCAGGAGAGTTTTACGACTTTGAGCAGTTCCTTTTCCTAGGAATAAATATTAAAGTTAATAAATCATTTGAAAAAGGATTAAGAATAACTTACTATATTCCATAGGATCAACTCCTATTAAACTAAAAATACGTTGAGGAAAATTGTAGCTGTCTCTAACTCTCCTCGTTTTCTCAACATCCTTTTCCTTATCTTGTTGATCTGCTCCATCATCTATCGTTACCTTCGGTAAAATCTCAATATTTTCTTCAACTTTGATTTGTGATGAAGCAACTTTTGAGACTTTCGCAGATGGTTTCTTCCAACTTTCCATAATATCTTTACTTTTCCATGAACTCTCAATATTTTTTTGTTCATCCTCCTTTAATTTTATAAGATTTTTGGCCGTTTCATTAAGACTTTTTAATAGCTGCTCATTTATATCGTCTCTTATACATTTGTAATCAACCAAATTATCGGCGCATTCACAAGGCTGATCGTTACTTTCATTTATATAATTTAAAATTGTATCAGAATTAGATAGTTCATCAACTGTTGGTTCACTTTTTTCATCTAAGTTTGTTGTAGACTCATTTGTTGTTGTAAAATTAGCCCCAACAATAGTTTCTTCCGTGTTAGCTGGTGTGGGTGAGATGTTGAAGGTATTGCTGTCAATGCTTTTTTCTTCGATTTCGGGTTCAGGTAAAGTTTTAATAGGTATGGGGATTTCTATTAAAACAGGTTTTGGTTTAGATTTTTTGTGTTTTAATAACGATTGGTCTGATTCGGTTGAAACTTTTTCTAAGGGTTTTCCCAACATGTTTAGACATGGTGGATCAAATTCATCTAATTCAGATAAATGGTCACTGTCGGAAGATTCAACATCAATGAATTTCGGATATTGGCAATATTTACAAGAAATTGTACCAGCATTCATCTTATTAAAAAAAGAACTTTATTAAATTAATCGTTTTATGAATTATGTTTCTTACAGCCGCTTTATCGAGGTGTTTCTCTTTTAAGAGATGTAAAGCTCGCACCCATGACGATTCTTCACTTTCCTCTTGTTCCGTTTGGCATTCTTTATCTCGTTTATTTCTCTGTGCGTCCATAATGGTACAATTAACCGGTTGAATTTCTGGATGGCTTTCAATTAAGTTCCAAAATTCAAGGCATTTTTCATTACGTTGATTAAAACCTCTATTTTCAAAGGTAAATATCTAAAATTTGTTGATGAATACTTGAAATTGTTTCTTAGTAATATTTTTATCTACATTACCTTTAAAACAGACTCACATGACTTAATACTATCAACTTTCTCTGTAATCGAAGTTGTTATCTCAGAACTTGTATAAGATGAATCCGTTTCTGTATTTTGATCAGCTTCAATATGAGGCAGAAATGAATCGGAAAAGCTTTTTGCATTATTCGTGTTCTCCTTTTGCCGGAGATAATTTATACTTTCCACATTTTCTACTATCAATTTACTCGTAGAATTCATCGTAGAATCACGTAGAATTAATGGAGTAATTATTTGCGTAAAATTGAAACTTCAAAATATTTTTTGACAGTTATAGCGCCATCTATGAATAATTTTCTAAACTATCAAAAAATTTTGTACTAATAATTTAAATAAATTATTTATATAACATTATTTTTAAATTAATAGAGGTATATCATTAAAGCTATACTTAATTTGAATAATTTTAATCTATAATAGCATATTAAAAGCGCCATCTAAAATAAATTAATGCAATGACAGCTAACATAACCTTTAAAAAATATGACATAACCTTAAAAACTCGAACGAAATGGCAAGTTTATTAAAAATATTACGTTTAAATCCTTTCAAAGGTAATAATTTCAACGATATTTAACCTGTTTATTAACTAATTTTTCTTTTAGGTCAAATTTTACCAATTTTTCGTAATTTAACAACCCAACCTAACATTCACATCAAAACACCTCCCTTAACATTAACAAGCCTTATAAATCCATGGATTATACAAAAAGAAGAAAAAATCAGACTTCCCGTGTTAAATAATAACCAAATAAACCTCCCAAGTGGAATGTTTTATATTCCAAAGATTGATAAAAATGTTCAAGATGAAATCGATGAACCAAGTAAAAATTTTAATGATGAGATACAAGCAGCTAGATTGATTATAATTCGAAGAAAGAAGATGAGAAAACATAAGTTGCAAAAATTAAGAAAGAAAATGAGATTTGAGTGGGCTAAAGTAAATAATAAAATTGATTAAGTTTCGTTTTTGATGTTTATATTTGTATTTGGGATGTTTTAGGTGAGACAAAAACGCGAATTGAAAAAGGAAAAGGAATTTCAAGCTGTGCTTATACAAAAATGTAAAGAGGCGGATGCTTTCTCTGCTGAAAGTTATGTTCAATCACGTATTGATAAATTAAATGAATTAATTGCTTTTGATGCAAAAAAAATGTTATCAAATAGAGATAGAAAATAAATAAACACCTAATAAATAGTATTTAAGGAGTGTTTTTCTTTACAAAATTTTGAACATAAATATTATTTGACAAAAAGGTTTTAATTTTTAACTCTTGTAAATAAACAAATTAATGTTGGATCTTAATATAAGTATTTTGTGTACTGAAGCAGGAATGTAGTACCATTTATATAGCTCTACATAAAGTTCTGCTGTTTTATATGTTTGAATTTTTTGGAGAATTATGGAAAACCTTTTAATTAAATCCTCCTCTACTCCTGTAATATCTACTGTTCAAGCAGGATTAGAAAAGAATCTTCTAGCAGTGTTACCATAGTTGGAGTTTCCAGTACCTTGTTAAGGCTTATCAACAATTATACCTACTTCATCTCTAAATCGCTCTTGTACTTGTTTTTTCTTAGTCTGTTTTTCAATCTTGTGTAAAGGATCAATGGCAGACCTTTTTTTAAATAAAAGATTGTACGGGATTTAAAGAACCAACTCCATAAATCTGATCCAAGGGTGTAAAGATGAGATACGAAATTTATATGTATCTACCCAAAATGGTCTTGCTCTTACCTTCTCCAGATTATTAATTTCCGTTCTGCTCATAGTCCTTGCAAAAATACAACATGACGTAATTGTCCTCTTTTACATTCACAACGAAATCTTTTGCTAATTACACTCCAATTAAAAAAACATATATATTTCTTTGAATAGGACAAAAACGGGCATGAGACTTTATTATCTTTTTTTTCTATATTATGCATAGCACAATTGTATAACACCTAGTAAATACATACTAATTAGTTACTTATTTTTAACACCAAATTAAACTTGATAATGTTTTGCAGCTTTTCCCAATGGTCCAGTCTGCTTTACCCATAATTGATAAATATTGTCATATTTTTACCGTTTTAAGACCGAAACACAAAAACGCTCACACTCCGATACGCGGAATATGGGTATTATTGTTTTTGTTATAATTCCGCACTATTGCTCTCGTTTGAATCGACTAGGTCACTAAATTGAATGGCTTCATCCTCTGAGGACGACGCAGGACATCCTCGTCGTCGAGAAGCTGGATGGCCTCGATGGTAAATTCCCTAGCCATCTTTATAGACTGGGTATTGTAGACTTTCCTGGATGTTCATGTGGTAATGAGGTAGGTGACATCAACCACCTGTTATTTAACTGCAATAGATACCATAGCCAAACAGAGAGTTTTTTGCAAAATCTTCTGGATAGTGGCGTGCGACTACCGACATGCAACATATATATTATCGGGCTATTCCTCGCAAGCACTGGAATTATATTCTAATCCTGTTCCTCTTTGACTAATACAATCCATTGAACATTAGATTACATTGAGTTGAGAAATTGTTGAATTTATTCGATGGCAAATGGGCACAGGGCTGGAATAGCTTAATAATAAGGGAAAAAAAAGTTTTTGCACTTCGAACCAGTTTCTGAAGAAGGTTGCAACATGGCATCCGAAACGTCAAACCTTTTCTTAAAAGACTAGTGTTACTAGTTGTTCTAGTGTTAGTTCTATACTATCTAATTTTAGTTCACTTAACACCGACCGTGACAGCTTTCGTACTTATATTCTTCTGAAAGAATTGCTAAAAAGTGAATAATATGGCAAATGACGCTGTGGAAATCTTTCTTGATATTCTTGTCGAGCATTTCCATTGCAAAAACCATACACGAAAATTATATCAGCATACTCTTCAGTGCTATAAGCGTACATTTTGAGTTTCTTCTTGTATGTAATAATTAAACCTTACAGCAAACTGACATATTACAATGACAACTTTGTTTTTGTTGAATGTTTGATTTTACTGACTATTAATAAATTCGCTGCAGAAAACTTTAAAGTGTTATAATTTCGTAAATAATTGAAATAAGACATATGTTCATTAACATTTTTTTATGTCAAAATTTGATGGTGAGGTAATAAATCACCTTGTATAACATATTCAAAATTTTGTCATAGTTGTGCTCAAAACTTTTACTACAAATATCTCAAAGATTGTCCAATGAGCAACAAATCTTTTTGTTTCATATATTAATTTTCGTTTACAGTTCTTTCGCTTTATCGTTTTGTTACGATTATCTCGATTATACTGTTAACAAATTAAAATTCAGCTTTATATATAAATAGTAAAAACATTATGATGATTTCAATAATCTAAGAATTGGTTTTATTAATATTTTATTAAACTATTGATTGACCAAGTTATTTAAAAACGGCTGTAATACAGCTAAAATCAAAGAAATCGTAAATGTTGCAAATATAAATAAAATGTTATTAGAAATGTTATAATCAATACAATTTATTTTATATTTAGGACGATAGAAACGAGCACTTTGAAAAATATTTTTTCTATGATGGTTAATTTTTTGTAAATCGTCCATTTTCGATTTTTCCTGAGAAACTTTATAAAAATATAATAAAAGTCTATTCCCCAATGAAATTGTTTTCGTCGCATTATAAACATATAGCAACAGAATGCTCTAAAAAAATAGTTTGTTAGCTTTTATAAATATATCAATATCCCTATTACTCACAACTCTTAGAATAAGTGTTAAGCTGTATTTTATTTTATTTTCGCTAGTAGTAGTGAACAAAATTAAGGAGAAAATAAAATAGACCGAAATCGAACAATCACACACAAAAACCATCAGCATTTGCCCTCCAAATATAGTGTTGAATTTTACGACAATTTCATACATAACTGTATATAATGCAACAAAATCTTTGATTTCTAATAATTCTTCTTTTGAAATACTCTCCAATTCTTTGAATCTCCAATAAATACTTTCCGTAGCGTAAATGATCGTCGATCCTATTAAAAATTGTTGTATACCTGGGTAATTATCCCACGTCGGATAATAGCTTATTACAGATTCTAATATAAATATCAACCAAATGAATAAAAATAAACTTGATATCGTAATAAAGTTATTCTTTGAACCAATTACGGCTTCCATTTTAGTTAAACCATTTAAAAAATCAACCCAAATTTTCGTTTTACTTACATTAAACTGGTAAATGAAGTAAATGTTTGCCGATAATGTTTGAACCAATGTAATAATAATTATATATTCGTAAGAACTATTATACACTATTTTTAGTTGTGTTAGATATTTCCACATAGTAATCAGTAAACATAAAATGTTAACGATTGATACACCTTTAAAGAAATTTTTGTATATCACATCTTGTTTTTTTAATGAATACACTGGCAAAATACCACAGGCATTAAATACCAATTGAAAATACATAAACATTGATGTTGTTATACCCATTTTTATACATATATTATTATTAGCTTCAAAGTTATAATGAAAATGTTGTTTAGTATGAATAAGTTGTGATGTTAAAGTATGATTTAGGTCAGTTATAATGAATAATAAAATTTTTGTTTATTTGAAATTTAGATGTGTAAAGTGATAAAATATATGTAGCGGGTGTTCCTGAAATAATAGATTAATTTTAAAATAATTTTAACCAACTAAAGTTCACTATCTCGAGAAAAATATACAAACCGCGATAATAATTTTGCTGCAGCAAAGCCTAAAGGCTTATATTATTGATAAAATAAAAAAATTTAAAGATTTTGTCATAATTCTAGGCTAACATTAATTAGGTAGTAGAAATGGTGCTTGTAGTCAGATACATATGTTTCACTTAATTAAATTATGGCTGATGTTCAAATTAAAATTGATGAAACTTATTTAGGCTACTCGCGCCACCGAAAGCGCAATAAGAGAACTAATAATTGTAATTATAATTATCGAATTTATGTTTCGGATTTTAATTTGCAAGCTGTCGGAGGGCAGGTTTTCTTCGAATTTATTTATTTTGTGTTCATATAATAATAAATTCCAATTTTGATGCAAACAAAAGATTTTGATTTAGTCTCTGCTCTTGATCTACGTGGGGTTCCGTGGGGTTGAGCTCGTTTACATTGATTTCTTTGATGTAAAGAGGTGTATAGGTATCAAGAGTTTGAGCACCAGCAAGAGACGTGTGGGGCCGAAGTGATGTGCAGGAAGTGTGATAAAAAGGGCCATAAATACCAGTGTTGTTAAATACCCGGGTATTTATTTTTAAGGGTAAATTTCCTGGACATATACCCGGGGGTATTTACCATAGATGGGTATTTACAGGTACTTATAAAATTTTATTTAAACTGAGTTGATGGCAGTTTTGCCAGCACTTCAAGAATGCAGAGTCGATTATCGATATATCAAACTTATTTATAATATCTACAAGAATGCTACAATGACTGTAAAATTGCATGAAAGTTCTGAGGAGAGTAAAAGTAGTAAAGTACTGATTGTGAGTAAAACAAGGCGATACACTTGTGATGAACCCAACTTGTTCATCACAGTCCTGGAGAGTGCATTTAAACAACTGGAGGTGTGTGCAAGAGTCGGGCTAAATATCAACGAGGAGAAATCAAAATTTATGACAAATCTTGTTCCCAGCTCTAACATCAACATTGGGGATAGTGAGATTGAGAGGGTTATGTATATCTTGGCTATGAGGTTCGTGTATCGAGAGATAATCAAACAAGCGAATTAAACAGAAGGATCACACTCATATGGACAGCCTACGGGAAACTTAGAGACATCTTCAAGAGAAAAGGCCAAAAAAGGCGTGTTCTTTGTTATGACATATGGCTCCCAAACTTTAACATTAACGGTAGCCACTGCCAGGAGGGTCTAAGTAACGCAAAGATAGATGGAGAGATCGATCCTGGGTGTAACTCTGAGGGACTACATATGAAATGAAGACCTATGAAGAAGAACTGGCATAAATGATATGGTCAACATTGTGACAAAGCTTAAGTGGAACTAGGCGGGTCATGTCGCGCGAAGGAAGAATGAGTAGTGGACAAAACGGTTGCTTGAATGGAGACCGCAAGCGAACAGATGAAGTAGACGTCAAAAGAATGACCAAAAAATTGGATTCAGACAGCAGAGAATAGAATCGAATGGAACAGAATAGAGGAGGTCTATGTCCAACAATGGACGTAGAGGGCTGCTTGATGATAATAACACTAGTCTACAAAAAAAAAATCATAAAATGTACATCTGACGCCACTGTATTTTTCTTATGTAGTTTGGTCCCCTAAACTCAAAAATCACATTTAAAATTTTTTCTATGGATACGTTTTGGAGCTATGAATTTTTTTTTTTTTTTAGAGGTACTTTGACTATTTGCAGCATATCTCGAGTTAGAGATGACCGATCTGGTGGTGCTATTCATCAAATTAAAGAGTATTGTATAGCCAATAAATGGTATTAATGCTTATTCCAATCGGTTCGGTAGTTTTAAAACAATGGCCCATAATATGTGAAAAAAAGGATTTTTTTGGACAAAATGTGAACCAAAAATTCATTCAATATCCGTGTAGAGTCGCAGAAAAATTCTTTTTTACCTTCTACGTAAAGGTTGCTCTTTTTAGAAGACAATAAGGTACGCAGGATGAGAATCGGTGGAGAAATTACCAAAAATTATGATCTTCTATATGTGAGAGCACAGCTTTTTCTTGTACAAAAAATTCCGCGCAACTAGACCGTTAGAAATTTTTAGGTTTCATGTTCATACGTTTCTGAGATTTTACGTGTAGGAGCTATTCATCCCAATCTTTCGATTTAAAATAATTTCAAGATGGCTGCCACATCTAGTGTACCGGAAGTAGCCTACAACTTCGTTATTTTAAACGGAATGCTGCAATTTTTATTGGATATTTGAATTGAAAAACGGTTTTTTTAATCAAAAATGACAATACAAAATTCACTCGCAAAAAGAGAAACGCAAAAATTTCGTCTTATTTTTTACATACAGTTTGTACTTTTACAATAGGAAGACAGTATTTACGACCAAAGCCTATAGAGAAATATCGAAATTATGATCATTTGTGAGTCAAAGTGCCAACATCCAGCTTTTCCTGTTTCTGTAATTTTTCTCAAAAAGCACGAAATACAGTTCTTCATTCAGTTTATTTTGATTGTAACACTTAGGTATTTATAAAATAGTATGCACAAGTCTTAGAAATAAGTTTGCCCCCCGCTTTGCCTTCTGTTTCTTTGAGAATCCGTCTCTCTTATGAGGAACCAGATATAGTCTCCCATCATTCTTTCATCCCAAATTCCCTGATAACGCCGCTCAATGTTCTTCATTTGTTGGTGGAATCTTTCGCCATGTTCGTCACTTACGTCACCAAGATTCTCCGGGAAGAAATTTAAGTGTGAGTGTAAAAAATGAATTTTTAGAGACATATTTACACCTGTTGGAAAAAATTAAAATAAAATTAAACGTATAACTGAAAATAATGAAATAACGTGTATTTGTAAACTGCCTGCATCCCCATAGCTTTTGAAATGTACATCGAAATTAAATTCAGAATAAAAAACGTGTCATTCCTTCATTGTTTTTTTATTCTGAATCAAAATGTCTCTTAACTCGGAACCTGCAGGGATGCCGGTACTTTACGGATACCCGGAATAATAATAATAATGATCTATACCCATTTTTGCATAATTCTGAAGCAAATTTTCAACAATTGTCTCGTAATTCGGGCTTTTATTGTTTCCAAGAAAATCAGAAACAATTAACTGAAACGAATTCCAGGCTGCAGCTTCAACGGATGATAAATAGGTTTGAAATTTGTCATCTTTTAAAAGTTTTTTTATTTGTGGACCGTTGAAAACACCTTCCTTGATTTTTGCGAATGAAAGATTTTCAAATAAGGTTCTTAAATAAGCAAACGCTTGGCCTTCTATATCCAGCGCTTTCACAAAATTCTTGAAGAGTCCAAGTTTAATATGTAATGGCGGTAGAAGGATGTTTTCTTTTTTAATAAGAGGCAAGTATTTAATGTTGCCCTCGCCGAGGGTGTGGCTTTTTCTTTCAGGCCATTGCTTCCTCTTATAATGGTGTTCCCTTGCGCGGCTGTCCCAAAGACAAAGGAAACAACAATATTTCGTGTAGCCGCTTTGTAAACCACATAACATACCTGTGACTTTTAAATCGGCACAAACTTTCCAGTCATGGTCTTCGTAATTAAGAGATTTTAATAGTTTAACCATTGTTTCGTACGATTCTTTGGTATTTACAGCATGCGCGATCGGAATTGATGGTTTTTCATTTCCATTATGCAAGAGAACTGCTTTCAAACTACTTTTATTGCTATCAATAAATAACCGCCACTCGTGTGCATTATAAGGCTGGCCAAGCTCCTCGAACAAACCGGGAATGTCTTTGCAAAAGCATATGTTATCAGTTGACGTATAATACTTTGTGTAAGGCCTGTCACGGTCTCTGTAATATGTTACTTTAACACTCGTATCCAAAAAGTGATATTGCTTCATACGAGATGCATGTAATTCTGCTTTCTCCTTTGAAAGCTCCAAGTCTCTCACCCAATCATTCAGTTCTTCCTGTGTTAGAAGATGCTGTTCATGCTGTCCTTGACATTCAGTTAAATCACTTCGGAAATCTGACGTATCAGTACTTGAGGACTGAGATATAACGGAAGTTTGGGACTGAGATAAATCAGGGCAGTTGGGGATGGGAAGTGTATCTGAATGCGGAACTGGAAACGTGACAGATGGTACATTTGCATAAACCCATCGCATATTTTTCCCAATTCCGGTTTGTTTACTTAGGCAAAAGTAGCAGTCGGTTGTATGACAAAGTGGTTCTTTCCAAATCATTGGTACGCCAAATTTCATGTACCGCCTAACGTTAAAAAAAGTTATAAATTATAAAGTATTTTTAACATGAAATACATACCCTGGCGCGCCGGAGGCCCATCCACTAAGATTTATATGACAATTAAGACATAAAAAACTTGGTGTCCATTGTTCTTGAAGATTCTCAGCTGGTATTCCAAAATATTGGAGATAATTTTCTTGTACCGAATTAGTAAATTTACGTATGTTTTTCTTGACGACATATTCACCACACACATAACAGAAATTAAGGGGGTCGTTTTCACACTCAAAAATTCGTTGTCTTTTACTCATTTTATAATCAAGCATGCAATTAAACTATATTATACGATACAATTTGTGAACAACTGTTTAACGCTGAATATGGAACTCGAATGAATAACTTTAGCAATCTTAGTCTCCACGAAACCTTCCCTTACGGTACAGTGGGGGTTTTTATGATGCTCACTTTTTTCTTAACATTCCGGGAAAAAACCTTTTCATTTGTCCACGAGAAACGTATTTATTTTAATATTGTTCAAGTAGGTAAAAAAAGATGGGACAAACCTGTGTGCGAAGAACCTTTGTTCTAAAACCGATAGTTTTCCAAGAATAATAAAATGCACTGATACCTCAAATATCCTTTTTCAAGTAAACTTAATTCACTGAGTAAAACGGCAATATACGTTAGGAATACCGAAAAATATAGAAACAGGAAAAACCTGGGCATCTTCCTATTGTAAAAGTACAAACCTTATGTAAAAAATAAGACGGAATTTTTGCGGCTCTCCAAGGTGTTTAAGTGAGTTTATGTGATTTTTGATTAAAAAAACCGTTTTTCAATTCAAATATCCAATAAAAATTGCAGTATTCCGTTTAAAATAACGAAGTTGTAGGCTACTTCCGGTACACTGGATGTGGCAGCCATCTTGAAATTATTTTAAATCGAAAGATTGGGATGAATAGAATAGCTCCTATACGTAAAATCTCAGAAACGTATGAAACATGAAACCTAAAAATTTCTAACGGTACACTTGCGCGGAATTTCTTGTACAAGAAAAAGCTGTGCTCTCACATATAGAAGATCATAATTTTTGGTAATTTCTCCACCGATTCTCATCCTGTGTACCTTATTGTCTTCTAAAAAGAGCAAACTTTACATAGAAAGTAAAAAAGAATTTTTCTGCGACTCTACACGGATATTGAATGAATTTTTGGTTCACATTTTGTCTAAAAAAAATTCTTTTTTCACATATTATGGGCCATTATTTTAAAACTACCGAACCGATTGGAATAAGCATTAATACCATTTATTGGCTATACAATACTCTTTAATTTGATGAATAGCACCACCAGATCGGTCATCTCTAACTCGAGATATGCTGCAAATAGTCAAAGTACCTCTAAAAAAAAAAAATTCATAGCTCCAAAACGTATCCATAGAAAAAATTTTAAATGTGATTTTTGAGTTTAGGGGACCAAACTACATAAGAAAAATACAGTGGCGTCAAATGTACATTTTATGATTTTTTTTTTGTAGACTAGTGTAATCATAATAACTTGATCTAATTTAAATTACGACAGATTCGTCTGATGATAATACGTCTTTGATTGTTGATAATTCCTCGTCTTCATAGTCCATTTCATCATCTTCTCCTTCATTTTTTTTTTGAATCTGATATATTTTTACTGGTATCACTTTTATACGTACTATTTGGGTGTTTACCCTGGACCGGGGTAAATACCCGGACAAATACCCATTTTAGAAATACCTACCCGCTGGGTATTTACCCAGCGTCCATCACTGATAAATACACAATAAATATTGTGGAAGAAAGAATGCATAGCCGCATAGTGCGAATTGTAAAGCGAGGCGGAAATTGTGAATGAGTCAAGATTGACATTATGATTCCTATAGGTGGGCACTTCTAGATGAGAAGTCGTTGAGTGATCATATAATAACTGAACTGAAGGTTTGATTGAGCGTTAGACAAATGCTAATTCTAATCTCTTTCTTTCTACAACATGACGCCGCACAGTGGGGCGAAGCGCTCTTTTGACTAGTGTTACTGTATATGGTGTATATCTGATAAGAAAAACCTGTGTCACTGCTACCTATTCTGTGTTGTTGAAAGTTCTTCGAAGGATAGGTATCTTTCTCTGCAATTACCTCATGATGTCAATCTTGACTCATTCACAAATTCCTCCTCGCTTTACAATGCGCACATACCGGCTATGCATTCTTCCTACCACAATCCCTGTATTTATCCCATTTCGTTATACAGCCTTTACATACCTATACACTTCTTTACATCAATGAAATTCTCGATCCTACACGAACTCAAGTCCACGTAAGCCCACGTAGATCAAGAGCCGAGGCTAAATAAAAATCTTTTGTTTGCATCAAAATTGGAATTTATTATTATATGAATACTAAATAAATAAATTCCAAAAGAAGCCTAAACAACTTTCATCAGTTTTTACATCTCTTGCTCGATATCTGGAAAGCGGTTAAGTTTAGGTGTATGATGTGCTATCTGAATTTTGTTTAGAATTTCGAAATAAACTAAAATATGGAATAACATACAGGTGTTCCATTAAAGAAAACGTAACTTTGTTTCGTCATAACTTTTTGAATGACCCTATATACTTAATTTGTCTTTATAGTAATAAATTTTAAAACTTTCGTATCTTAACATTTTTTGGTAGGTTCACCAACTGGCAAGAGTAGCGGAATAAATAGAAGAAGGATACGAGGCTAAAAAGTTTACAGCTATTGTTTCCCTGAATGTAGCAAGGGCCTTTGATGCTGTCTGGATTGAAGGATTAAAATACAACCTCAATCAAACGGGGTTAAGTAACTATTTACTTGCCATTCTGTTCTCCTTCCTGGAGGAGAGAACTTTCTCCGTCACCATCAGGTGTCCCACAAGGTAGTAGTTTATTCCCTGCTCTGTTCAACATCTTTATGCATGATATCCCGACTGACGTAAACTTCGAAATGGCCATATTTGCGGATGACATGTTAATAATGGGATAAAACGACATCTTTATTTATGCTATTGAGACACTTCAAAGGTCAGTGGACAAAATCAAGAAATGGTTATCAAAATTATTTTGTATCAACGCAGCCAAGAAAAACAATGTCATTATTGAACTGGTTTTAAAATAAATAAAAAAAAAGAAATAGAAAATAACTAAACGCCAAATATTTAAGAATTATTTATTTTTTTCTTTACAAAATTTTGATCATAAATATGATTTGACAAAAATAAAAAGGTATTAATTTTTGACCCTTGTAAATAAACGAATTAATGTTGGATCTTTCTTTAAAATGGTCATAATTGATCTTATTCTTTTGTCTGTAAACATGTAGGTAGTGTCCATGTAATCTCTATCTTTGCGATCTCCAACTACCTCTGCAACTGGAGTTTTATCCGATGATACAGAAGAAGATTTAACTATAAATAAAGATAATTTAATGAATTTTAATTAAAGAAAAATAAAATATAATAGAACTAAAACTATCACTAGATCTAACAGTAGANTGGGGTTACGTGGGGTTGAGGTCGTTTACATCGATTTCTTTGATGTAAAGAGGTGTATAGATATCAAGAGTTTGAGCACCAGCAAGAGACGTGTGGGGCCAAAGTGATGTGCAGGAAGTGTGATAAGAAGGGCCATAAATACACAATAAATATTGTCCGGTAGTAATATTCCGGTAGTATGGAAAAAAGGGCAAATCCTAATGTTCAGAAAGCCAGGCAAAATCAATACGGACCCAGCTAATTATTGTCCAATCAGTATCCTCTCATCCTTATCTAAGCTATTCGAACGAGTCATCCATCATCGACTATAAGAAGAGTTAAGCCTCCTCAAAATAATCCCAAACATAAAGTACGGATTCAGAGAGGGACACTCCACAGTTCACCAACTGGCAAGAGTAGCGGAATATATAGAGGAAGGGTTCGAGGCTAAAAAGTTTACAGCTATTATTAGCAAGGGCGTTTGATACTGTCTGGATTGAAGGATTAAAATACAAGCTCAATCAACTGGGGTTAAGCAACTATTTACTTGCCATTCTGTTCTCCTTTCTGGAGGAGAGAACTTTCTCCGTCACCATCAATGGATACTCCTCCAGCACTCGAAGAATACTTGCAGGTGTCCCACAAGGTATAGTCTTCAACACGGCGATCGGTTTTTATGACTCTGTCACTTTCCTACTGTAGTTGTAAAATGAACAAAGACGGGGTTGCACCAGATAGTTTCCCATTGTAGAATGCTGGGATTCCTCACTCAGGGCCGCATTAAAGAACACACTTACTTGTAGAAAAATAATAGGGTTATATATAAATACTCATTATTCTCTTATTTGTTGTATTTCTAATATCAAGCACATATTTTTTCTAAGAAATGTTTTGAGAATGCATGCATTGTCTAATTAGAAAAAAGAGCGGAGGATAATTAGATTCTTTAAAATTTTGTTATTCTATTATTTAGACATTCCTAAAATTAATATTTATTTATAAGACTTTTATATTAGTTTTTATAATTAAATTTTAGTTGTTATAACTAAACTTTGGTTCTTTTTATTAAATTTTAGTTTAAAAAAATTTAAATTCGACCCTGTCTTTGTCTGACTGTTTAAATCTTTTCAAGTTCAAGCGGGCAAAAATCACCCCGAGTTTTATTTATGACTGTCATAAAAACCGATCTGGATGTGGAAGAGTATAGTAGCTTATCCCCTGCTCTGTTCAACATCTTTATGCATGATATCCCGACCGACGTAAACTTCGAAATGGCCATATTTGCGGATGACATGTTAATAATAGGACAAAACGACATCCTTATTGATGCTATTGAGACACTTCAAAGGTCAGTGGACAAAATCCAGAAATGGTTATCAAAATTTTTTTGTATCAACGGAACCAAGAAAAACATTGTCATTGTTGAACTGGTTTTGAAATAAATGAAAAAAAAAAGAAATAGAAAATAAATAAACGCCTAATATTTAAGAATTATTTATTTTTTTCTTTATAAAATGTTGATCATAAACATGATTTGACAAAAATAAAAATGTATTAATTTTTGACCCTTGTAAATAAACGAATTAATGTTGGATCTTTCTTTAAAATGGTCATAATTGATCTTATTCTTTTGTCTGTAAACATGTAAGTAGTGTCCATGTAATCTCTATCTTTGCGATCTCCAACTACCTCTGCAACTGGAGTTTTATCCGATGATACAGAAGAAGATTTAACTATAAATAAGGATAATTTAATGAATTTTAATTAAAGAAAAATAAAATATAATAGAACTAAAACTATCACTAGATCTAACAGTAGAGCTAGAACTAAAAGCTATCGAGTTAAAGTTAATTAACTGTTCATGTTACTCCTATTTCGATGAATCTCTCTTGTCATCTTTTGGAAATTATTTTCGGCTCTGGTTACCATCTTGGTCTTATCGAAATCTAAGCTTTCTAAGCTTGGGGGTGAAAAGGGTGATATGAGGCGGGTGTTCAGAAGTGTATGTATAAGAGGGAGGTGAACGATGTTAGAGATTTGTAGAAGAGATGGATAGAATCGGATAAGGATCGTGTTTAGCGGGGGCTTTCAGCTGATAACGGAATAAGGATCTTCAGTAGTACTGGATGGTTGGTAGGTGGAGGCAGTGGGTGGTCTTGGGGTTGGTTGGGTGGAGAATATTATAAGATCTAGGTTTACTGTTAGCTCTAATGATAATGATAGTATTAGTTCTAGTTTCCTATTATAAGCCTTCGTGCTTAAAATACAATATTTTAATACCTTTCAGTTTTGTTTCATCCTTATAAATATTCCATGGTGAATCTGCACTTTTTAGAACATTAGTTTCATAAACTTCATGAATCGGTGAAAATTTGACATCAGCCTCTTTAGTATCGGTAGGAATTTTAGCAACTCCAATATGAGATACTGTTAATGGAGAAACCACTTTCTGAATTCTTTGATATTTGTCTTGCTTTTCTACTTTTTGCGATTGTACAGAATCGGTTTTCCCTAATAAGAGTGTATCCTCGATGATTTCAGATTCCTTTTTAACATTTTTCGAATAAAGGAACGATTGTCTTCTTAACAATTCCAAAGAATCTTTGGTAAAACTCAACTTTGAAATTACCGAGCCCCGATGAGAAACTGGTTGTTGTTTCTGTGATTCCATTAATTTATGTCCCATCGTTAATGAATGTCTATGAATTATCAAGGAATCGGTTGCTTGCAATAACTTCGAACCAGAGACCGCTTTCGAGGGAGGTTTCTTTTGTAAGATCGATTCTATATCTGATTTTGGGGACAATTTTGGTTTGGCCAAGCTTATTCTTGATGATCGATTAGATGGTTTTGTTAATTCGATTTCATCCAATATTCTAATCGCTTGGAAACGTTCAAAACTAACCGTTCCACCTTCGGCTAAAGCATTTTTTTTCGTCGTGCTAAGTTTATCCATCGGTGTCGCTTGAACAGGTTCATTTACTTCTGCGGTGGTTCTATCCATTTCCGATAGTGATCCATTTTTAGTAGTTTGTACACCTTTTAATGAACTTCTTCGAGACATTTTTATTGTTGATAAAGAATCTTGAGCAGCTAGTAGTCCTAAAACAGAAACTATAAACAATTATAAGATATTTATATTATTTGATTTAGATAAGCATAAAAAATCGTTATGTTTAAAACGTAAATAATTTTTGAATAATTAATTTTTATTTGTACAACCTTGATAGATAAAATAAAACGAATAAAATGTATGGAATTATTCAAAAACTCAGTAAGTATGGGTTTAACAGTTTCAAGTTTTTGTTACGTACAGTTGTTGGCAAATTTACTTGGCCTTTTGCCGTATTATTCGTTAAAAAATCGAACCTGTTTGTGTAAAACATTCTCTAAAATCGTTTTATTTGGAAACACCACTTACACTTTTGTGTATATTTGGACTTTAATTGATGAAATAGTTAAAGGCACGGTACAATATTCCGATGATATAACAAGATGTGTTTCCGTAGCGTTGTATATTTTGTGTTATGGTTCAATGATTTGTTTTTCTTATCGAATTCATATAAATTCAGAAGAAAAATGGATTTGTTTATTAAATAATTTGGCGGAAATCGAAGAAAACGTCGATCAAAGATTTAAATATTCATTTCCGCTATGGTTTTTTACATTGGTTAGTGGATCATTGATAATACATTATGATTCAATCGATTATAGATATTTTTATGTGGCTATAAGAGAATTATTAATGTATCCCATCAGTTTGGGTGTAAATGAAATGATTTATTTAAAATTTCAAATGATTTATGAAGAAGTTAAAAAATGTAAAAACGATAAATTAGCTGGTTTTAACAAAACTACAAACAAAAAAATGCTAAATGTTATGAAAATTTATTGTAAGCTTCAAATTTGTGTTCGATTATACAACGAACTATTCGGTCTTCATATTTCTATAGCAGTTATTACAAACTCAATTACAATTATGGTGATAATTTGTCGAATTATTACTTCAAATTTATTCGATTTTATATGGTACACAGACTATATACTTGTTTTAAAATCGTTGGTGAGATTTTTAAACGCAAAACAATTCTTATTACTAATGACTATTTATTTTTATCGTTTTTTTAGGTAGTTATAGCTTTATACGTTTACATACCAACTAAAATTGGAAAATTAGGATTGAAAATTTTATTGTTGTTAAAAGAAATTGATAGCGAGGAGTTAAATATAATATGTTTTAAGCAGTTCACAATTTATCAACCAATATTTAATATACCTGGAATTAGGAGACTTTCTTATAAAACGTTATATTCTCTTTTTATTTTTAATTTAAGCTTAATATTAATAAATTTAGTAGCTACTGTTAATAAATAATTATCACTAATGTAAGAAGACAATATATTGATCAATAAATAAACATATTTTCTGAAGACATGACCAACATGATAACGTATTAAGAAGTTCAAGCATCACAGGGTGTCACAAAAGTCCGGTAGCATAGTATTTCTGTTGATAAAAACAGAATGGAAGCACATAGAGACATGAAATTTGTCATAAAGTTTCTGCCAAATGTACAATCAAAGTTCGAGGTATCCTTTCGCTTTCACACAGGCGTCGAGATCATCTCATACCTTCTAAAGCCACGCTAAAGCCATGAGGACACCCCAATTTGCAACGTACCCTACATCCTCATATTTAATATGCTTTTTATTCAGGAAATAGCACATCGAACACTACAACTAATGCCAGAACATCCAATGCCTGCAGAGTACCTCTTCCTCTCTCGAACCCAAGTTGGACCTCATTCAATTAACCATTCTTTTCCATATATGCCAACAGCCTTATCGGAATCACTATACGATCCAGAATTTAAACAATCGCAGATGCCAGGCATATTATCCTGACGCCACCATTCGGCTGCGTAAACTAAATTACATCATTACAGTCAAATCTATCAATTTCATTCCATCACTCTTATAAGAGTGGCTCTCTCCATTTCATTTTAACCACGACGGCTTTTAAGTCGTCATAACCGGGATCTTCACTCTCACCGACCAATTTTGTTCACACTAACTTTTTCCCCTAACCATTTAGCCACATCTTCCTTCCAGCTTTTCATGCTTCTTACCACCACACTTTTACTTGCGTTTACCGAGGTGTGTTGTTTTCCATTTTATCAGTAGGAAAGTATTTAAGGAACATATCCCAAAGTTCCTTCCCTACTTCTAAATCTCTCTGCTTTATTGCAACATGGCATCAGCACTCATTCTGTTCTCGATCTACTCACTCTCTAAACTTCCATCTATGAGTGGACTACTTGCTGTTTATATTCCTTCCTAACAATTATGAATTGCAGTTTGGAGCTGCCTACGTCCTCTCCTTGTGTTCTCCGTATTTGATTAGCTCTCTTCTTTTACTTTGCAATTCCTCATTTCACCAATTTGCATATGTCTAACGCCCAGTTGCGTCTTTGGATAGGGAGAAGCCTAACAACTTTCATCAGTTTTAATTTGAACATCTGCCTCAATTTAATTGAGTGAAACATATCTGATTGCAAGCGTCATTTCTGCTAGTTTATTAATGTTAAGAATGTATCCTAGAATTATTGAAAAATATTAACATTTTTTTATTTCATCAATAATATAAAACTTTACGCTTTGTTGCAGCAAATTTATTATCTCGTTTTGTATATTTTTGGAGAAGAGGATCGAGAAAAAGATAGCAAGAGCGATGTAGACCTGGAAAGAAGCAGGGAATAGAGAGTATAAAGGATACGCTAGAGCTGTTAAGAGGGGTGCGGGGAACGAAGTGGACCCGGTTAGTACTGGAGGAAGGCTGGGGGAGAGAAAGGGCGCGAGCAAGAACATCATCATAGTTCAGGGTGTTGAGAATATCGTGGATAGCGCGAAATTAAAGAATGATGTGGTGAAGAAGCTAGAAAAAGAAGACACCTGGAAAGACGTGAAGTTGAAAAGGGTAACCAAACTGGAAAACAAGAGGGTATTAATAGAGGGAGACTCGGGGAGGGATGTTGAATTGGTAAGGGAACCAGCAATGGTGTGGCCCAATGTGATGTGGACAGAGAGATGAACGAGGGGGTATTATTGGAGCAGCTCTGGAGTAAAAACACGGAGCAAGGGGTTGGGATAGGTTGGCATGACTTCAAGAACGAGGCCAGAATATTGTTCATATTTGTTGATGGTAAGTTATGTTATGGAAGTCTCAGGGAAAGTGAGAAGGGAGATTACAAGGTTTGGGAGAGTATATATTGAGTTGTCGTCACTGAAAATTGATTAAATTTTAGAAAAACATCAGAGAGACAAAAATTTTTTAGAATAGTTTTATCTATCTAACTGAAATTTTTCCAATGTATTTATCATCTCCATAAAAAAAATCTAGGCATAAATTGAACGGGGGTGGTTACGTTTAGTAGTTTAGAAGGGTAGGTTGAAAGTATAAATAGGGTCAAAACGTGCCCTATTATGAGTTAAACATATTCCCCAAATTTCATTTTCCTAGCGTTTATGGTTTTTGAGAAAAAAAAATTAAACCAAAATTTTCTGCTATTTTAGGGGTGTAGCTCCTTAGGGGAGCCGAAGTCGCCCATGGTTCATATATCAAAGTACCCTTAAAATTCACTAAAGAATCACCCCTTGAAGTTTGTTGCAGTCATTCAGATACACCTGTATAGTAGAATGTATTAAAGGGAAAATTGTAAATATTAGAAACAATAAAACGCTTATTATGTATATTTTTCCCGAAACTTTAGCCTTGGTTAAAATTTTTTCTATTATTTAAGGAACACCACTACATATATATATATTATATATTTATTATCATCGTTTGCACATCTAAATTTCACAAAATAAACATAACATTTTTTATTCATAATAACTGACCTAAATCATACTTTAACATCATAACTTTTAGTATGAATCTAAATAACATTTTCATTATAAGTTTGAAGCTAATAATAATATATGTATAAAAATGGGTATAACAACATCAATGTTTGTACATTTTCAATTGGTATTTAATACCTGTGGTATTTTGCCATTGTACTCGTTAAAAAAACAAGATGTGATATACAAAAATTTCTTTAAAGGTGTATCAATCGTTAACATTTTATGTTTACTGATTACTATGTGGATATATCTAACACAACTAAAAATAGTGTATAATAGTTCTTACGAATATATAATTATTATTACATTGGCTCAAACATTATCGGCAAACATTTACTTCATTTACCAGTTTAATGTAAGTAAAACGAAAATTTGGGTTGATTTTTTAAATGGTTTAACTAAAATGGAAGCCGTAATTGGTTCAAAGAATAACTTTATTACGATATCAAGTTTATTTTTATTAATTTGGTTGATATTTATATTAGAAGCTGCAATAAGGTATTATCCGACGTGGGCTAATTACCCAGGCATACAACAATTTTTAATAGGATCAATTATCATTTACGCTACGGAAGGTATTTATTGGAGATTCAAAGAATTGGAAAGTATTTTAAAAGAAGAATTATTAGAAATCAAAGATTTTATTGCATTATATACAGTTATGTATGAAATTGTCGTAAAATTCAACACTCTATTTGGAGGTCAAATACTGATGGTTTTTGTGTGTGGTTATTCGTTTTCGGTTTATTTTATTTTATACCTCACTTTGTTCACTACTACTAGCGAAAATAAAATAAGATACAGCTTAACACTTATTCTAAGAGTTGTGAGTAATAGGGATATTGATATATTTATAAATGCTAACAAACTGTTTTTTAGGGCATTCTATTGTTATATGTTTATAATGCGACGAAAACAATTTCATTGGGGAACAAACTTTTATTAAATTTTTATAATGTTTCTCAGGAAAAATTGAAAATGAAGGATTTACAAAAAATTAAACATCATAGAAGAATTATTTTTCGAAGTGCTCGTTTCTATCGTCCTAAATATAAAATAAATTGTATTGATTATAACATTTCTAATAACATTTTGTTTATATTTGCAACATTTACGATTTCTTTGATTTTAGCTGTATTACAACCGTTTTTAAATAACTTGGTTAATTAATAGTTTAATAAAATATTAATAAAATCG